TACTCATCATAAATCCATAATGACGTAATGCAAAGTTTTTGGATTTTTTCATTTTAAGGGGGGAAATGGGGAGTGAACGTTCTTATGGGAGTATAGATTTTTTTTAAATGTAGGAACTTGAAAATTGGAATTGTAGCTACTCATTATAAATAAATAATAATGTATTTCAGGGATTTTGGATATTTACATTTGGGGGGAGGGGAATTGGGGGTGAAATTATGTAGGGGTATCGATTTTTTAAAGGTATGAACTTGAAAATTGGAAGTATAGTTACTCATCATTAATAAATGACGTATTTCAGGGTTTTTGGATTTTTACATTTTAAGGGGGGGGAAATGGGGGTGAACATTTTTATGTGAGTATATATCTTTTTAAAGGTAGGAACTTGATAATTGGAATTGTAGCTACTCATCATAAATAAATAATTAAGGATTTTTATATTATAAAGGTCCCCCTTTATACTTAAAAAAGTGCACTATTTTTACAAATTGTTCAATTTGTAACGTCAACACTGTAGAAATATCATAACATTTTACTCCTTTTTTTCAGAAGGTGAAGTGTTTGTTACAATGTGTGAAACATTTAGAAAATGTAACCGAGTAGGGTAGATTGGGTACGGTTGTAACAATTTCCATTTGATTGCCTGCAGTCAGGGACGGCTCGTGACCAAAATTTTGTGGGTTCACAGTAGCAGAATATAGATCCCGGTACATATATAGGTAAAAAACTGTCAGTGTTTTAGAAAGGTATATTATAAACTTTCTAAAACACTGAAAGTTTTTTCATACATCTGTACTGATACCTATATTCTGTCACTGTGAACCACTCCACAAGCCGCCACTGCTTGCAGTACAGCTACTATGGTTATAAACTACGACTAAAGCATTTGAGGTAAAAGCATGGTCAATATACTAATATCAAACTAATATCAAAGTCAAATGTCCAGGTAAAACAGTTTGTCAGAAATGAGTCGTTCGTATGAGTGTATGCGATTGTTACACTCGACCCCATACCAGGGGCGGTTGTAACATGGTTGTAACACTCAGAAATACTACACGATTCAAGTAATTAAATTATTTTTGTTTAAAATAGTTCTTTTAAACAATTTTTCAATCTAAACTAAAATAAATCATCAAAAAGGTAATAGATAATTAACCTAACCTAATCAACAAAATCTAAGTTTAAAAACCAAAATCAACAAAAATATTTTTTCCTATTCCTACTTAATCAGACTTACTGCAGTTATGACATACGTAATATCTACTCCCATCTGTGCAAGCTACGTGAGACCATTGTTTACGGCCCCCTTGACATTGAATACACTTCTCTTTAGACCGACTTTCTGAATACGCCTCTAGACAAACAAGGCAATAAGATTCATCTTCTTATGATGAATCTAGTGGTGTCGCCTCCTTTTTCGTCCATTTACCTTTTCCCAGGCTGATCTTTGTCTTTCCTGTAGATGGTTGAAATATACTTTTTTCTTTGTTTGTTTATTTTTTAACCGATTCTGTCGCTCTTCATACTCTTTTCTAACAGCTTCCTTTTCAGGAGTATCTGTGTAGATTGCCGACTTTTTGGTTTTCCGACCTCTAGTTCCCATTTTTCTAGGAGGAGTTTTAGGGTATGGCCGTAATGCCTCGGCGAGAACACAAATTGTTTGCTAGTAGATGGAAGAGGTTCTGTTTGCTGAAGCAAAGCATCACGAGAAGAGATGTTTGTTTCCAGGTTCGGTATTATACCATCTTGTTCTTGATTAGTTTCTCCGGCAGTTTGTTTGGGTGGCGTTCTCTGTACTTGATGTTCGCTGATTTGAGGCGACCTAGGTGATTGGCTATAAATGAATGATCTGTTTTCAGATCCGGCTGGATCTATTGTACTGGATGAAGGACGACCCTCATTCAATGATAATGGTGATAGCGGTGGTCTTTTAGTATCAACTGCAAGTCTGATGTTATGTTGATTAGGAGCGGCTATCTCTTCTGTAACGTTTGGATTTGGCCTATCTGTCACGAACAACGGTGCAAAATCATCTTCTTGGAATAGGTTGCGGTTGAATGGATAGATTCCTGTCTTTCGAAATCCGGCTTGAATATTCGCTTGGGTGAGTGCAAGTGGCATTGCAGTAGTTCTCCTTGCAAAAGTCCAATGAATCGATGTGTATATGTGAAGAGTGGTTGTCCAGCACCAGTAATAACTTATGAGATGGAGAGGCCTACGTGTGTTTTTTTAAAATGTTTCAAAAATACAAGAAAAGTTTCATCTTGTATCCAACCTGATGGATTGCCTGTACCCACGGACCCAACTGGCCTATCTCTGATAAAATGCTCTTGGTATCTTATTCGAGGAAATACGAACATAGGTAGAATTGTGTTGCCCAATACGTTAGCTGCAAATGCTAGTGTCATCAAAGTGCCTCGTTCAGTAGATGTAAGTGTACCCACTTGCCTTGAGCCACGTTTTGCTACAACTCTATCTGGTTTCTGTACCATGATAACCCTAGTTTTGTCGACATTGTAAATATCCTGGGGTTCAAAGTGATATCGATCCATAACGATTTGAAGATTATCAAAAAACGCGTTGACAATACTTCGGTTGAAACTCGTTGCTCTGGATAGACTTGTAGCTTGAGCAGCGCGCACAGATAGTTCAGGATTTCTCTTCATGAACGAACGAAACCACTCCTCTCCAGCCGTTTTATTTTCAAGCCAAGTGGAAGGAGCTTTCAAATTGTACTTGACGGTAAGTTCAAATGCCAACTTTCTTGCCTCTTTTGTGGAGAGCCCAAAATAGATGTCTGTCATAGCCACCTAAAACTACAAGCCATGCACTGAAAAAGGCAACGGCGCATCAGCTGACTGAAGTAGTCCTGTGTTGTGTGCTCTGAACTCACGTGAATTGACTTAACCGTTTTATGTATTCAATGTTGTATTGAATACCTAACCATAGAGGGAAAAACAATACAAAAATCTTAAAAAAAGTATTAATAATAATTGGGTCAAAAAAGGTATTGGTAAAACTTTTTGAAAATTTAATTCCAAGATCATTTAAAATAGGGTTAGATTCCGAAATGAAACATACGTTCTTAAAAATGAATGTATCTGTCGTTTATATTATTTATAAACAAATTATAGAACATACAGGTTAAGCAAATAAATAAAACAACTCATAAGTATTTATAAAATTTAATGATATGATATGAAAAATATCTATTTATATAAATAGGAAAAGACAAAATAGTTAAAAGTACCATTTTCTCTTTTTTAATTTTTATTTAGCAGCTATTGACTAACTTTAATGTTATCAATAAAAAACAAAAAAATTGACAAGAGTATTTTTTCCCAATCTTCGTCTTATGACATCCATATATCCACAATTCATACATGTTTTCCTCAAATTTTAATAATAACTAACAATGTCTAATAATAAAGTGAGATAAAATATAATACTGAACTATATTATATTGTAAGTACATATGTTTATGGTCTCATATATACAATGAACGAATGTGTAAGAGTAGAAAAAATGTTGGAAACATGAAAATTCATAGATGTTTTTCTTAAATTTTCAATAATAACAATGGCTAAATATAAAGTGAGATAATAAGATATAATAATACTGAACTATGTTATAGTGCAATAGGTACTTATAAAAGTTTAGGGTCTTAGATATACAATAAACGAATGTATAAAAGTAGCAAAAAAAAATGTTGGTAACATGGAAATTTATAAATGTATTTATCAAATTTTCAATAATAACTAACAATGAATAATATAAAATATAATACTGAACTAAATTATATTGTAAGTACATATAAAAGTTTCTGGTCTCAAATGTACAATGAACGAATGTATAAGAGTAGAAAAAAAATGTTGGAAACATGCAAATTCATACGTTTTCTTCAAATTTTCAATAATAACAATGTCTAATATAAAGTGAGATAAGATATATTGATACTGAACTACATTAAATTGTAAGTACTTACATACAAAAGTTTATGGTCTCAGATACCTATACAATGAACGAATATATAAGAGTAGAAAAAATGTTGTGATCACGGAAATTCATGTACGTTTAAAATTTAAAATTTAATGTGTTTTTCTTTATCCGTTTTTGAGTTTTCTTTAAAATTCGAAATTTACACTTTTTCTCAAATATCTCGAATACGGTCCATTTTAGAGAAATTATGTATGGAACAAAAATTATAGAGAATTATATCATAAACAACTTACATTTTGTCAAATTTCTCGAATACGGACTATTTTACGAACATTTTGTCTAGAACAAAAATTATAGAGAACAATATAAAAAGTAACATTTATTTGAAAAATTTTCTTCTCCAAACGTAAATAACAGATATATTTTATAGAATATAAAAATGACCCCTATAAAGTACCCCCAGATGTTCCGACTCTGCCCAAAATCTAATCTGTTCACGGCAGGCTAGAATAAAGCTTAAATTTAAAATTTGGTGTTTTTCTTGGTATCCGTTCATGAGTTATCGTGGATAGAGACACACACACATAGACACACACATACACACACAGACATCATCGCGAAAATAGTCAAAATGGATTCAGGGGGCCCCAAAATGTAAAAATTTTCAATAATAACTAATAATGTATAATATTAAGTGAGATAATAAGATATAATTGTACTGAACTATGTTATATTGTAAGTATATATAAAATTTTATGGTCTCAGATATACAATGAACAAATAATGTATGAGAGAAGAAAAAATTAAATAGTCCAGATAGATTTATTTTTTGAGCGTAGATAATTTTCGTTTTTTAGTTAAATTTGGGGAACCAGAATTTGTTGAAGAGAGTTTTTGTTTTTTAGGTAAACGTGACGTAGAATGTTTAATACTGTTCTTATTTTTTGTAAAATTGTTTAAAACAATGTTTGAAAATGTGAGAGCAACTTTTAAAAATATATGTCGAAATGGAGTTCCACAAATAATACATTGACCTGTAAAATTAATGAAAAAAGAATCACTTTCCAAACTTGCAAGAGCTAAAGAAGCCAATAAATATTTGTGATTCTGTCTGAATAAAAAATTTGTCAAAATTTCTTTCGCATTTATAATATATTCAAAAATTGCACATAAATGGTAATAAATATATTTCACTTCATCCTGTGCCACACACAATCCACCTCGTTGTAAATAATCAAAATACTCATCGTTTACTTTTTCACCTATACTTTTCACCACTAATTGTTTGCAATTATTACATTTGATATTTTTGGATTTTTGGACACTATGAGCCACGTATCCACAGATATAAGTTTGAGTAGACTCATCATATTGAAATGTTTCTAAATAATTTGTGGACAATATAAAAGTAAAATTTGAATAATCGATATTTTCATTGTTACATTCATCAATATCATATTTTGCTTGTAACCAATCGGTATGTAAATTAGATTTCAGAAGATGTTGTATTCTAATCTTTTTTTCGGATTGTATTAACTGGTTCACAGATACATTATAATTGCAACCAGAGAGGTTTCTATACCGTCCAAACCGTTCTTCTAAATTATCAGTCTGGAATTTACCAGGTAATAAATAATCTAGTTTAAAATTTAGAAATGAGTACTCGATTATGTCAATTAAAACCAGTGTACTTCTTTTTAAAGCACCATAGGTATCACGGGTTAACCCATTTGAATTAGGTATCCTATTCCAAGCATCAAGCCATTTAGTAAAGTTTTTCAAAAAAGTTAATTTAGGATCTGTGTTATTTAAAAATGGAGTAGCTAAATCATTTCTTTTTATCTGACCTTTAAACTTAGTTTTAACATTAATTACACTCCACCAATTTCTTATAATTTCGAGAAATGATGCTGTTTCAGTAAATGTACTAGTTGACTGTAATGCAGCTATAGTGGACTCATGAAATATATTTTCTACCAAACCCACATTTTGTCGTTCCAATTTATTTGGATACAAGGTTTTATCATTAAGTTTATAGGCTCTTTTTGTTATATTATTTATTTCTAATTTATACAAATTTTGGATATCTACAAAGTGTGCTTTTTTTGTTAAAAGATGGTTACTGTAATCTGGGAAAATAAAAGTTTTTTGAGGATCTTTTTGGTTTAACCAATTATTTCTAATATTTTTATAAATGTGAACAAAATCAAAGAGCAAAAAAATTTTTTCATTGTTAAATTTAGGATTTGATATGTAATAATTTGATGATACTTGCCCAAACATATTTTGATTTAACCTGTTATTATCAGTTATAACGCTCAACACTTTAAAACCACTATTTTGAGTGTACTGAATTGCATTAAGCATCGCGTCTTTTAATTCAGTTCCTGTAATATTACAAACCGGTAACAAACGCACTACCTGTTTAAAATGGGCAAATGGAGATGATATCATAAATGCTACGACTGTTGTAGCCAATGTGTCAGCATTATTTGTGGCATACCCTGTTACATTTTTAGATTGGTACTGTAAACCCGCTTTGACATATATTTCATCAACTAATAAGTTTACAACCTTCTCTCTGTCATTGAGGTGTGAAGCAAGGTATGAAAAATAATTATCCTCCAAGTTTCCATCAGGGGATAACTGGAATGATGAAGTTATTATTTGCAAATATCTTTTAGTAGGCAAGTTGAGAAATTTTTTCAAATATGTGTAAGCAGAAGGTGACTGATGAAATATAGTTAGTGAGAGTAAAATTGTTGACAATGAATATCTTTTTTTTGTAGTTAATAATAATAATTGATTGTTAATTAGTTCAAGGGTTGCTTTTTTTTCATCATCACTTAAATGATTAATAATGGCATCAATAATATTTGAAGCCTTTAAAATATAAAAATTAACGTCCACAGAATTTTTTAAGCTATAAGAATATCTTGATAATAAATTCTGGAGTTGCGACCACCTACCTAATTTACATTCATGTGGTAAAATCCATTTTAAATCTCGTGGTGATAGTTGCACGTCATTAGTAAACACTGACACAGTTAAATCCATACCAACACTTATGCTAGAAATAATTTTAGGACACTCATCGGAACAATCTGGAGTACTAATATTAAGCATGTAAAAGTAAACTCTTTCTGGTAAAATTTTTACATTCCAATTATTTAAAATAACTTTCACATTCACTTGTCCAAATAATTCACTAAAATTTTTTATTAGATCAGCATCTAAAAATTCTGCAACTTCATTTTCCTGTCTTTCAAATATTTCAGCTCTTCTTTGTTCAGGATTTCTTCTTTCTGCATTTTTTGGATTTGAAAAATACTGAGGATGGTTTTCAAAAATTCTTGGAATTGCACCTTCTTTCAATTTAGGATACTTCAGTTTAATTTCATGTTTAATTCCATTTTTATCAATGTAGAATTCATTTACTATAATATCAGTTTGATCAAAATGTTTTTTACACACTACTGAATTTGAGTTAACAACATAGTCTTTACGATGTATAGCACTAATCCATTGTTTTCTAATTTCTTCCTTTTTAGGAAATGAAAATGTACTTTGTGTTTCTTCCTTTTTTAAAGTACTGGCGTAATTTGAATTGCACTTTGGTACGCAGCAGTGTCTTGGCATCTAAAATTAAAATATTGAGGTTAGAAATCTCGATAACATATTCTCTTGAATAATTTTTAAAAATGAGGTATTTAGTACGTTAGTACTAATAGAAACTTACCTTTTCAGAATAAACTTATAAATAATTTACTTATAATACTTTCAATAGTAGCTATTTAATATTATTTAAATGAAATAAACTAACAAACAGAACGGCAGTTTTCACTTCACACTTTTGTCGAAACATATGCAATATGCAATCGTATCTATCCTATTTCGGTGATTTCGGATATCGGGGGCGTTTTTGTGTCGTGTGGTCCCATAGGACTACCCGCGGCGATGCCAGATTTCACGCTTCACGGCTTGTAATTTTAGGAGGCTATGTGTCTGTACAACGAATAAGGTATTTTGCCAATTGAAGCTCTTGATTTTCATTGAAAACTTTATTATGAGCAACATATCCCATTCTAACATTTTCTACCTGCTCATGGTCAATCCTCATCCACTGCGTCTCTCTTCCGCTTGTATCTCAAAAGAGAGACATAATTAACACTGTACTTCTCTGCAGCTTTTCTCAAAGAAGCCCCTGGTTCGACATCATCATAAGCGTTCTTATATAACAATATATCGTTTTCACCTCTTGTCTTTCTTGTGCGTGTTCGAGGCATCTGTAATTCAAAAATATTATTAAAGAAATGTTACAACCGTCCACAAGAAAATTGTTACAACCGTACCCACCCGCCATTTTGGTAAAAAAACAGTCAAAGACACGAAACAGAATAAGCCAAACAAAAACGAATCAGCTTATTATAATATCTAAAATACAATAATTGCTTATGCAAATACCGAAAAACGATAATCATATTCATAATAAAATTATATAAAAAAGAAATTCGTCAAAAATACTTTTGGTTTACAAAACACAATAGGCCTCTCTAACAACGTGCTAAGCGCGTGAAATGCATCACCACACTGGGGGGATCGTATCGAGACTTACGGTCTGCTTGCAACTACTCCGTATTCTTCTCCGCACCGCGTATAGCTCGATAATATTTTAATTGTTACAACCGTACCCAGTCTACCTACCATTTTTTTTGCAGGTCTTATTCAAGTTTTCCAAAAAAAATTAACCAAATTTTAAAATAGTAACTTTTGTAAATCAATTATTAGGGGTAAGCTTAAACAATCATTAGGATCTGGATTTTTTAACTATTAAAATTAAGCATGTATGCTTTTAAAGTTAGGGTCACAAAATTGTATCTTTGCCACCCCTGAAAGAAATTCCTTAAAAATGTATTAAAAAATCTACATTTTTTTGTTTTGTAATTAGAGGTATTACTACAACTATATTTTTTACCAATTTATAATTTTGAAAATATGAAAATATATAATCTCCAATTCCTCCTACAGAATTATGAAAAATAAACTTCATTATTCCTAGAGTGAAAACAAAGCAAAGAAAAATTAAAAAACTGAGAATGAACGAAAAGAAAAAATGAATGCATCGACCAGGATTCGAACCTGGAACATTCAGACTTTTAAATAAACTCGATTGCTTAATTTTTGAAACACCCTATACCTACTTAGTTAAAATAGCTGTGGGTGTAAAGAAGATTATATAATTTACCGTCATCAGTCATCGTCATCATTCACAATCTATCCAAGTATATATCTAATCTAATTATTTAAATGATTCAATAATGCCATTTTGAAGACCAGTTTTTTTATTATTGAATTTCATACACGTGGCGGGCACACGCGGGTGCGTTGGTTCAACTATCCACTTCCTGTCAATCGTCGGAAGTGCGAGTGTCATTATATTTTTCGAATACCTATTTTACTTAATTGCGTAATTATTTTTTGTGGTTTTTTAGGGTAGGTATGTTACAAATGTCCGGAAAGCCGAGCCATCCAAAAAGGGTTGATATTACGCAAGGAATCTGCTATATCATTTATGAATTATTAAAAAAATGATTCTAGCCTATTTCACACTTCTTATTTATTTAACTGTTTATTTATATTCGACAACATTTATTTTAAAACTTAACATAGTACGGCAAAATAATTCGCTTGAATACAAAAATGTAATAGCCTAGAAAACTCCAGTTCTATTTTAAATGTTCGATGCTAGTCTACAAGTTCGTGAAATACTTCCTCCACGCGTCGGACTGCGTATAAAGAAAACATTCCAGTTGATTCTCGATTGCCAAGTCAGACGTAACGGCAGCGGTGAAGGTCAACAAAGAATAGGGTCGGACTAGTTGCCCGAGATTCCTATCTTCGATCATGCGAACAGTAGAAAAATAATATTGCTCATCTTTTGTCCCCAACATAAAATTGGATGTCTTTAGAACGAAATAGCATCTTAGCTTTGTTTGGATTTGAAGATTTGATATTTATTTTGTGTTTTCAAAAACGTACTTGGAAACGAAAAATTATTTTATGTAAACGAATATTTTAAGATTAGCGTGTCTCCCAACAAATAGTTTTGCTACAAACGTTGGTAGCGCAACTTATAGCCATAATGTGTTGTAAATAATGATTTCAAAACTATCAAAACATTATAAAAGGAGTTGCTGAAACTACGAGTTTCGTCATTCGTCATATGACATCATCGGATAAAATTTTAAATGAATCACCTTGTATTTATATTTTTTTCAGATACCTACATATTTTCTTTCTGAATTCATCAATATAAGGTTCGGATAGCCTCTGACTTACCTTATCATAAAAGAAAGTAATAAAACAGAAAGGTAAACGTTGTTTTGAATAATTAATGAATAACTATCCACACAGTTATCTGTGCTATCATAATGTATCAAATTGTTTTGCCATGGTTTCACTTTTCGCCATTATAAATGTCATATTGACATCTCGATATTAATCACTCAATTTTATTAATACGATTCTTTTACATCTCCGACAGAAATACCTACCAATGTTTTTGTGTTACTGTTTAGGTACTTGGTTTTTATAATATTATCACCTTTTATTAATCTGTAGATTTTAATTCATTCTGGTTTTTGGAGACAAAGTTTAATTGCAATTCTATTCAGACAATTTATTCCACCCAAACTAGCCCAATACGCGACAATAAATATCTCAACATTTGACACTACTGAGAATTTTTATTAATTTAAACCATTGTTGAACTGAGTAAACGTGAAAGAATGACATTATTGATGATTATTGGGTTTGGAGACAGGAAGAGATACCTATCTGCAAGAAGCTTGTGATTTGTTCAATGAAACATTTCCCGATTTCTAAATCTACAGTATCCAGAAATTTGCGCAAGGTCAATGAAACAGGAAGTGTGAAAAACAATCCCAGATCTGGATGGAAGAGGACATCCAAAGCTTGTGTTAAACAATAATATGAGCGAGATATCTGTAAACGCAATTACACCAAGAATTGAATGAATATGACCCTGATAGGAGAATGCAATTCTGTCAGGAAATGATGGATGCCATTAATGGAAACAATATGTTGATGAACAAAATTGTTTTTTCCGACGAATCAACATTTTGTCTCATTGAATTTGTAAATAAACAAAATTACCGGTATTGGTCCTCACTGGATGGAAAGAAGTCACACCCAATATCCACAAAGTGTTTGGGCTGGTATAGTTAGAGGAAGAATTATTGAACCATTCTTCATGAAAGTTAGTTTATTTATTTCTAAATCGTAGAAATCACTTCTTTCTGATGAAATTGGGTTCCAGCAAGATAGTACTCCTCCTCATTTCGATGTTATGGTGCGGCAGTACGTAGCACAATATGGACAAAAAGTGCCAATAAGTAAAATGAAGATGTCGTGACCCAAGTTGGTAGAGTGACAGAATGCCTCGATGCGGCATCAGTTTTTCATTGGCTGTCACAATTGTGAGCTGTGACGTTGCAGGTTGCGATAATCCTAATGCTAATGCAAAATATTAAAACTTTCTTCTTAAGATCCAACTCAACTTTTTTCTTAGAAACTCTCTAACGGGGGTGAGATTCGCCCCTAAAATCTTAAAAGAAAGAGGGGTCGAATGATATCGAGATATTTTTACCTACTGGATTTTTTCTTTGGGGTCATTTGAAATCAGTAGTTTATAAGGACCTGCCACATTCGCTGGGAGAATGTGTTAAGATCATTTAATTGTTGATAGACTTGGATATTGTACAGGCAGTAGAAATATGATATTGAAAGGGCTTAATTTTTTTATAAAATTGTCGCGGGGCCCGACCTGGAAAATTATTCCGGGGCCCGACCTGGCTCTCGGCGGCCCTGCAGGCAGTTGGAGGCTTTCACTTCAAATACTTACTTTGAAAGATTTGTGTACTTCAATTGATGTAAAGTAATTATTATTTTTTATTAAATAAATGTTTTCTTTCAGCTAGACTGGAGAGAAAATGGTTCAGTATTGAAACCATTTATATCCCTTAATACAGAAAGTTAGCTTGGGAATTTTCGTCATCCGTCATATCTATCAAGATATGACATCGGATACAATTTTAAATGAATCACCTTGTATTTATATTTTTTTCAGATACCTACATATTTTCTTTCTGAATTCATCAATATATTGGGGAACCAATATATCATTAATAACAAATAGCGGTCCAAAAATGGAACCTTGTGGAACTCCAGAATATTGTTCAACATAATTGGTTTTAGAGGATTTTACTTTAACATATTGCCACCTGTCATATAAGTTCGATGATAATAACACAGGCCTGCGTTTAAATACTCTGTAAAATGTGAATTAAACTTTTCAACTGAAATTTGGTATTTCAGTGACTCTGATTTCAAATCTGCTTTTAGTTTTTTTTTCTATTACGTAAGGTTTTTCTCTTTGAAAAGTCTATAAAAAGTCTTAACTCGGCAGGATTGTATTCAGAAGCACCTAGGTGAATAACCAAGTCAGATACATTTTGACAATATACAAGTGAACCAGCTGCGGCAAAGTAATTGACAAATTCAGCCTCACGATTTCTATACCAGTAAAATGTACCTGGAGCAAGTAATTTTTTTCTTTAATCCTTGATCCTAAAACCTCAGAGAGGTATTTTGAATCGGGTCGGTGGTGTAGCGGTCTAACGCGCTTATATTCATTTACAAGCAAGTTTATGTGCCAGACCATGTGGATTTTTAATTAAATTGCATGGTTCGGTATAGGATTTGATGTGTGCTGTATTAATAGAAATTTAATTTCTGTTGATATGACATGCAGATTATAAAAAATCGCCATACATTACCGTCTCGATGGTGGTGGGTGAGGTTTTCCGGGTTTTCCTCACGTGTAAGTCAAATGGCACCGTCAATCATCTGTAAGTCGCCCCGAAGCACCACGGAAAATAATAATAATAGCCGTCCCTTTCCCCGCACAAGCTCAGCTTTTGGGGTTAAAATTCACTCGTAAGGGGGTGAATTAGGGAGAGTATTATTATTATTATTAAGTCCCAAATCCTTGACTAAGTCATTCAGTTCTACTTGAGAAAATAGCTGCGGTTCACGGGTTCCTGAGGTAGATGGCTCAAAAATGTCAATTTCTGAATCTGTTGAAGATTCTGATTCGATAGACTGTAACACTCTAGGTGGAACAGGTACAGGTTTATCAGCGTCATGTGCCACTGGTCTTATTGCAGACGAAATATTAAGATAGTTAATATACTTTAGAGATTTT